AACATTGTAAATAAAACAATAAAACATTGCCCATCTGATCAATCCCTCTCTTTGTTCTAATTATGGAAGAATGTGGATTCTGGGGGTTTTTAAGTGAATTTGGGATGCTGCTTCAGCAGTCTGACACAAGGAGTAAGTGTCCCCAGATACCAAGTGGCTGGGCCTCAGAAGCTGCTGAGGGCAAGTAGCCCTGAGCTGCTGGCCAGGGCAGGTTTTTATACTGCTGGGGCCAGCACAGGTGCTGGCCCCAGGCTCTAGCTCCCCCTGGCTGCAGATCCAGGAGGAGCCAGGCAGGGTTATTTTGCTCCAAGTGGCACAATTTGCTCCACAACAAAGTGCATGTCTGGGCATGCATGCTGAGGCAAAAAGCCCCATCTCAAATTTGCACCGCTTCTATTTAAGCTGCTGTAAGCACACGTGCTTGCATGTGTGAACACACCCTGTGGGTACATCTATACAAGATGCTTAATGCGAATTAGACTGATTCTATTGCACATTAGCACGGGTGGCAAACACCAAGTTACAGTGCAGCAACTTTAGTCCAATGCACATTAAGCATCACACAAAAATCATTCATCTGCAGTAATGCGCAATAGCATCAATTATGGAGCAAAAGTCAGTATCTGTTATTACAGGTACTAAACTTAATGTGCTGTAATTACAGCACATTAATGAACGTGTAGACACACATTGTGTGCTTGTATGTACAAAAACAACTTACCTGCTCGGACCATTTCACTGCCTTTTCTGTTAGATACCTATATACAACTGGTCGTCCCACTAAATAGGAAAGCATATAACAGAAAGAGGCTCCAAGTCCAGAACACTGCAAATAAAAAGAAAGTAAATGGATTAATTTGTATAACTGTCTCATATATCAACCAATTATTCTATCAGTATAGAACCTGGATGCACTGATGCAGTTCTACAGCATTCGCTTTTGGTTATCGGAGCTAGCTACTCCTAAATATATACAGCAGTAACTGTTAGTGTGTATTATTTTCTGTAAGAAAAAGGGAAATGGCTCATCTATTCTTAATTTTGTTTATCCATGTTGGCATTCAAGATAACATGGCAAGATTACTTTGTTTAAAAACGCAAATGCAAATACAAATACTTGCCACTAATCAGTTTAGCAAGGTTTACTATTAACCTTGCAAATAGGGAATAAACAACTGCTCTCAAAAGGTCTAAATTAGATTCAGACTTCACAAATGCAAGCAAGCTGAGAAAGTATGGATTGGATGAATGGACTGTGAGGTGGATAGAAAACTGGCTGGATTGTAGGGCTCAACGGGTAGTGATCGATGGCTTGAGGTCTAGTTGGCAGCCAGTTTCAAGTGGAGTGCCCCAGGGGTCTGTCCTGGGGCCAGTTTTATTCAGTATCTTTACTAACTATCTGGAAGATGGGATGGATTGCACCCTAAGCCAGTTCCCAGATGACACCAACCTGGGTGGGGTCAAATAGATACACTAGAAAGCAGGACTAGGATTCAGAATGATCTAGACAAATTGGAGGATTGGACCAAAAGAAATCTCATTAGGTTCAGCAAGGACAAGTACAAAGGAAGGAACAATCCCATGCACTTCTACAGGTTTGAGATCAACTGGGTAAGCAACAGCTCTGCAGAAAAAGACCTGGGGGTTACAGTGGACAATAAGCTGGATATGAGTCAACAGTGTGCCCTTGTTAGCCAAGAAGGCTACCAGCATACTGGGCTGTGCTAGTAGGAGCATTGCCAGCAGATACAGAGAAGTAATTATTCTCTTCTATTATGCACTGGTGAGGCCACATCTGGAGTATGGTGTCCAGTTTTAGGCTCCCCACTATAGAAAGGATGTGGACAAGTTGGAGAGAGTCCAGCAGAGGGTAACAAAAATAAAATATATTTTTATGATATAAAACTGAGATCAAGTGCTTAATATACATAATTATACATTTTCTCTGCTTATCAAGTCTTAGTGTGACACTTGTTACAACACATTATCTGCCAGTGTCCATTGAGACCAGCCTGACCCGTGCTGGCAGCACACGTGGCAGATGAGGGCAGGGGGCTGCTCTGGAGCCAACAGGAACTTGGGATGGGGGCAGCTTGCTCCAGATCCAGGGCAGTAGCCTGCATGCTCTGGGCAGGGGCACATAGGCAGGAGATGATGGCTCTGCCCCTGCTCCAGACTAGGCCGTCACCACTGCAAGGAGCTGGGGCAGAGCTGCAATCCCCTGCCTGCGCGCCCCTGCCTGGAACATGCAGGCTACTGCCCTGGCTCCAGAGCAAGCTGCCCCCATCCTAAGTTCCCAGCAGCTCCAGAGCAGCCCCCTGCCCTGCTCTTGCACACAGGCTGCCAGCCCGGCTCAGGCTAGTCTCCATGGCAACCCCAGCCTGAACATTCCTGCAAAGCTGGGGTCTCCATGGAGACTGGCCCAAGCCATGAGGGCAGAGCTGCTGGGAAATGGAGGCCAGCTGGATTGGCCATTTTGACCATCCCTGTTTTATGCCTAACTTTAGCTTAAAAAGAGATGGGGGACTGAGATCGACTGTCAGAGGCTCCATGATCAACCAGTCAATCACGATCTGATGGTCTGTGACTACTGAGCTAGACTGTTTTCAGTGGTGACAAAACAAGGAGCAATGATCCCAAGTTACAGCAAGGGAGATTTAGGTTGGATATTAGGAAAAACCTCTCTCACTAGGAGGGTGGTGAAGCACTGGAGCGGGTCACCTAGAGAGGTTTTTAAGGTCCAGCTAGACAAAGCTTTGGCTGGGATCATCTAGTTAGGGACGATCCTACTTTGAGCAGGGGGTTGGACTAGATCCTGAGGTTCTTTCCAACCTAATTTTCTATGATTCTATGAAATAGGAAATATGAAATAAGAAAAGATAGGAGTCCTCTGTATCTACGCAACTATCTCTGGATTTCATACCCAATTTGGGGAGGGGGAAGAGAGGAGTTATTTCTTCTATGTAAATACATGAAGCTCATCATGACTGTTAGCCTTTCGTTCTATCCTTTGGAGCCTGATGGTCAGCTTAAAAATATAAAATCCAGTTAAAAAAAAAAAAAAGGCAGCACAGCAGTGCTAACTGAAATGAAAGGGACCTGTAGAATAATTTCATAATTCCCCTCATAGCAAAAAATGAAGTTCCAAGTCATTTAATGTGAATTTGATAATGAACTCTGTGGTCAAAACTGTTGGGCTGGGTCAACATCCACAACGGAAACAGAATGTGGTAACTACTTGATACTCAACAACTCCCTTTAAAATTTTCAGCCAGACTCTCTCATTGGTAGCCCCACAGAAGTCAATGATAAAATTTCCACTCAGAATGTACCAGCATCTGACACTGAATTATACAACTTGCAGACAACTGCATTCTCAGGGACTATCACAGATGCTTGCTCCTACACTACAAGGCAACCAAATGGCAGCTTGTTTGAAAGGTTGAGGGGAAAAGAAGAACAAGTACTCTCAAAAAAATTATCCGTACTTACCAAACAGACAAGAAATAAGGCTAATGGGAATGGATAAAGAAACCCTGAGAGGATACTGAGAAATATAGACCCAGGAATAGCAAATGTTTGTAAGCTGGATGTTTCTTAGTTAAGGATAAAAGTGCCACGTTACTTAGAAAGCTACCAAACTCTTAATTAAAAAAAAAAAAAAAAAAAAAAAAAAAAAAAAAAAAAAAAAA